ACTAGTAGGCAGTTAAACCACAGTGCATATACATTATACTTTAAATAGGGTACTGTGCATTCATTGATTCATCTTTTTTAATTGAAAGGGACATTTTTCAACATGAACCTAACATACCTTAGTCTGCACAGCAAAAGAAAAAAACGAAAGATGTACAATTAACAAATCAACCCCTAGAAAGTGGTTAGTAAAGCCAAACAAACAGCATGTTTTAAATAAATAACGACACTGACTGCATGTCTGAGACAGGAATGTAATATATAACAACTGGTTCCACTATTTCCTTTCCTATGTTGGAGGAACTTCTGAAAAAAATGATTTTCAGAAGTTGGTATACAGTACAAGACTGAACTGTAATTTTGTCTTAATTCTCAGCAAATTTGTACTTTAAAGCTAACATGCATACAATGATATGTTTTTATATGGTAAGCCTTCTCAATGATACTAATCATACTTATTGTATTTTCTTCTTATAATGAGTTGATCTATATCTAATATAGTGATGATACTTTGTGTGGATTCATTACTTATTTAAAATGATTTCTACTTCACCTGAAATTTATCCCAACTACATTGGGTTGGTGTTATAGAGCAGCTACTTCAGACAGGGTGGATTAATGGAGATGGGGACCCACTCATATCATCCACCCATTTTCTAAGTACAGGGCTGTGGGGGAGCTGGAGCCGATCCCAGCAAGCAACAGGCTCGAGGCAGGACACACGCTGGACAGGACGCAGGGCACGCACCCAGACACGCCAACACATTCACACTCAGACCATAGCCATTTTTTCCAGAAGGCAATGAACTACCAGTGTGTGTCTGGACTGTTGGAGGAACCTGGAGCACCCAGAGCACCAATTCTTATTAGTGATAATTACTGTGATGGACTGGTATGCTGTCCAGACTGTACTGTATCTGGCTTGTCTGTTTATCATTATAAACAATATCACAATAGTTTAAAGGTACTGTACACAGGTTAAACCTGTACCTGGGCAGAAAAAAACATCAAACAAGAAGAAAGACAAATTCTCTTTAAGCTATAAGTATGGTAACTTGACATCCAGATTTCCCAAGTTCTATTCCATTATTTTATAGTCCAGGGCATCCATTATTACCTTGCTCTTCATCGTACACATCCTTTGGGTTACAAAACATTTTCTGTGGCATCAGCATCTCCGGATACAAGTGAAGCCAAAAGTCCCTCCCAGACACTTACTGTACAAATACAACTATGTCTCACTCACTGCAAGGTATCCATTATGATGGGTGTAGGATACAAACCTTGACCAGACATGCTGGTGGGTTGTGGGGATAAGGGGGATATACTGTATATAGAAGGAGGTCTTGGAAATAAATAAATGTGATTTGCCCCAAAATTCCCTGTAGATCAGGCACTGTAGATCTGGTGCAGAGGTCTATTGGCATAAATGGAGGCAGGCTTTTAATGGTGAGGAGCTTCCACAGGGAGTGATGTAAGAATATGTAAATACAAACCCTACATCTCCATTATGCCACCCTCGGAAATATAATCGGACTTCAAGGCCGAGCACCACTTCCTCCATCAAGCCCATTTCATTTATCATATCATTAGTATTTTTAGATAAGTCCCTCTTGTCCGTTGCACTTTGGTGGGTGAGTAAGTTCGCTTGTGCAGCAAGTTCCAGACACACGGGGAATCTGATCCTCTTTATAATGCAGCGTTCTGGTTACCAACAATAATGCAATTATCATGTACTCAAAGAATCTTGGAGAAAACGACTTGACAGAATCTGGTCATTTTGTAAACAGAAGTTAAAGGTGACATTTGATCCTAATTACACAATTTGGGGAGCAGTTATTTTTATTTCTGTTGTTCACTAATGTGATTATCTAACTTCCTTTTTTTAGCCTTGACCTTGCATGAAGAGGGTATTTTCCAGTCAGCAGAATGCTTTATCTTTGAAAGCAACAATCAATAAGGATAATTAATGATGCCTGCTGCAATGATAGCCTCAGCAATCATTATACCACATTAATCCCTGCAGTCACAGAGGGGTCAAGGCCATCTAAATCATTCACCTGAAGGAGGTGGGGAAATTAAAATAATCTAAAAATTCACATATTGCCAACTACTTTCTGATACATTTACTTAAGTAAGACTTTAATTAAGGAATAGTATTCCTCAAAGGGAAATTGGAGCTCCAATAAAATAGAAGCAAAATAAAAAACAATAATGACGAATCACGATAAACAATATAAACAACTCTACACCACTTTTTTGTGTTACAAGGGTTCAATTATTAAGATTAAGATTACATTACTGAGGAAAAATATTTTCTTCAGAATATTCGTGAAAGATATTTCCGTCTTTTATATAAATTGTGAGACAAAGTATATACAGAAATATAGCCAATATGGGGACCATAGGCATTTATTTGTGCAAAACTTTAAAAATAGCAAAGCCATTCAGCACCCATCTTGCCTTGAAGCCCAAGAAAATTTACAATCCATCTGTTTCTCTCCAGCCACCCACTTAGTATTCAACATTTTCAAGCAAATGAAAGGTTCCTTATGCAATCAACACTTCGATGGAAACTGGAAATTAAAATCATTATATCTCAATGTAATAAGCCAAATAAATGTGATTAGAAAACCAGACAGCAGGAAGATATAAGGCAGATAGAGGCTTCTCAATGCTGATCATTCTCATATGAGCATAACTTCAACAGTGATTGTACACGAACGGCTTGCTAGTATAAAAATATGTAAGCACTTGACTGTCAAGTTTGTTTATTTCCTTTTTTAAAAGTTCTAAAAAGAATTCAGTTTGACTTCATAATTTATGGGTGACATTTTCATTGTACTAAAACTTTATGCAAAATTTGAATTCTGAGATTTAATTTCCTGTAATGTTTAAATTACTTTCTACTTGGCTGCAGTCCAAACAGGATAATAGCCAGAGGCCCAATCTGTGATGTATAACTAGTCATTTCTGCTGCTGCCAACAGAAAACTAAAGAGAATCTATAACAATAAAAAAGATTAAATTTATCTTAGAGTTTTTTTTTCTAAACCTCCTGTACAATATTGTGTAAGTTAGCGAAAGGGAGGTGTGTAATATATCTTTATATACATAAGAAATACTTAATAAAAGTCAGTAATACCAGTGGCAGTGGTTTCATATGTTCTGTTGTTGTTTGCTCTTTTAAGGTAAAATCTTTCAATCTAGTTAAGTAGAATAATACAATGTAGAGTTTTATATACTTTTTTAGTTTGCAAAAATCTCATAACTGCATTAACTTGCCACTTGAGTTTAAAATGCAATTATCTTTATATATATATGTTTAAATTGAATTTTACAGAATAAAAACTGAACAATATATAGCACTGTCCTAAAATACGAAAATAGCACTTTAAATTAATTCAGCACAAGATAGAATATGAGACTTTGCTATTATTTCTTTTAAACATTTCTGGTATGCATTGAGGTACTTTAGATGCAATTTTGGGTCAATATTTAATAATACCGATATCTATTTTTTTCCTTGTGTTTCCAAGATAGACACCAAAAGTATTTCACACTTGAATCCACTTAGAATATAACAATACACAAGAAAAACTAAAATGTAAAATTATATAGAAGAGGTGGTAATTGTTATCTGTTAAAGTATGAATATGCACATTCTTTTATCTGTGGTAGTTAGGTACTGTATATAAAATGTATTCATATAAAAGAATCAAAAGGTTTCTGCAAATCTGTGTTTGGCCAATATACATAGGAACCAGGCCCTTACAACATCAGCTGTCATGACTGCTAATTGCAATACAATGTATATTTTCAGACCTATTTTATGTTTATATTTTATATTACATTACATCACCAAAAGCGTACTCCAGTGATTTAATGCACTAAATTAAACAGAAGAAAATATCAATCTCCTCCTTTCATAACAGCTCATGCCCCTTAGAAAACAGTTAGAGCTAGACATTCTGGTGCCTTGTGTCCTTCAGTTCTTGCATCTTAACATCTCCCTGTGACAGTGGTCATGATATTTTAATGAACATTCATTTTCTGTTTACTTTATGCCAGCAGTTTCTTGAATCATACCTGTCGTGTCCAGTGAAGACCATTATCTCTATTAGGCTGCCAATAACAAATCAGTTGAATTGCTTGTTCTCTAATTGATAGATCACACAGCTCCACCTACTGATAGATTACAGCAGACTAACGGCTGTGATGCTTATTCCTCCTGGGGCCAGACTACCACCTGATCCAGAACGATTGGGCTATATTTTCCGCAATAAATCCTCAACTATCAATATATAATGCCCTCTGATAACCTGAAGCAGGCAGCCAAGCTCTGATGTCACTGGCAACCATTTTTTATTCTGTTCAAGAAGAATTGCTACTGAGTAGCCAGTAAAGTATTTATTTCCAGTAAATGGGTAACCTGTAACTCAAGTCAGTCCCATTTTAAGTCTTGCATTTCCTGGTACAACAGAAGTCAATGACTACATTCTTTTGGGCAATATGGGTTGTTTGGGAGGAGGCCCTGGAGGTTAACCTCTTTCATTACCAGAATATAAGCTCTGACAATGTTGACTTTAAGGCTCGTCGGGTGCGCCCAAATGATTGTTGTTATTTTAACCAAAATTTAAAGGTAGTGGAGCAACACAAACAAATCATTTCCATTAGAAATCACTCAAGTGTGTGAGAGGGGAAGCTCAATTTTTTTTCCCTTTCACAGTGTTTCTCTCTAACTCATCGACCTGAGCCCCCCCCCCGCTACCCATTGTTCCACAAATAAAGATTCGAAAAACGTAGTTTATTATTTGCAAAAAGCCTATAATCAGTGTGGTATTTGCAGGCATGCAGGAATTCTGTTCAGCAGGAGTCCTCTAGGGAATCACTTTCAGCAGTGAATTTTAGGTAGGTTACCTAGCTAAGTCATGAAGGCTTTGTATACGTGGATAACAGTACAGCCGTAGGTTTGCAAATGAGAATCAAGAGAAATAGATACCTTTATTGGTGAAAGCATGTTCTCAGTAAACAGAGGGGCCTGTCCACTGTGCTTCTGAATTCCGTTTATTTCAGTTACCCAGTTAGACAAGACATCCTCAAATTTTTGCCTGAATAAAAAGAAAATTACTGTAGATTAGCAGCATGCATATAAGACTGTCAATCATTTAAAATTAACTTCCTAATGCAGTTCATCATTTGATAGTGAGATTACGCAAACATGTATTATCATTAGGGGTTGAAATCTATATCCTGTATTCTACTAAAAAAAATTTAAGACATAAACGAAGGTATAATATTATGGATTCTGCTGTTGCTGTATTCTATTTTGTTTTTTGGCTTTTGGTTTAAATAAGAACCAAGTCAATTACAATTAGATTTCTCACATAGGGACTGTATTGTACAATACTGTATGCATCATATACTCTATTAATACAACTGCACCTAAGACCTCATTTTCTGCCATATCCACAGCCTATAACTTCGGACTCAAGTTCATCTTAAGGTATCTGAACCAGTCAATGGTTCTTTTTAATTTTAGAATGCAAAGTAAGATAACATACAAATAAAATATCCATTGATTTAACCTAAGACTTATTTCTGTTATAATTCACATTTCTTTGGCTTTTCACAGATTGGATAGGGTTTTGAAACTGGGACAATGTGCAAGACAAAGCACTGTCAGTATAAAGTCAAAAAAGATTCATGATAGCATTGTGTTTTATCTGTGCATTTAATTACAGTCCTTGTGATGTGGTTTTCTCTTAATTTCACTATCACTGAGAAAGGTACTTACTCTGTAATTTCCGGGCCTGCTAGGACAGTTTCCTCGTTATCGCACATTGAAAAGATCGGAAGTTTTGTTTTATCTGAAACAAAGAAAGATCCTTAAATTGGCAAAATCAAACCTGAAATCTGCATATTTTGAAAAAAGAAACTAGTAGTTTTAGGTGTGCAACAACAAATCATACCATTTTACATAGATAAACCATAACAAATTATATATTTGACCTACTGATAAAAGGTTTGCTGCATTAATTGGTATGGAAAATATGATCAACTTCTACAATACATGATGGATATAAAACCACAATTTAAAAGTCTATTAGGACTGCCAGCAAAACAGGAATCTGGCCGTCAAAAAGTCAATACGGAGTTCTTTATTTGTCTCAGAGCAAACATCAAGTAATTATCTGCTTTATTAGGAAGAAGAAGCACCGCAATAACGATCTGCTAAAATAACCCATTAATTACTGTCAGCTACACCTGACTCCTTGCTTATTAAAAACATTAATAATGGAAAATAAAACCTAATTAGTAAACAAATGTAATCAGTCACTTGCGGAAAATACACTTTTTGACTTTAATTCTGTACAAGACAAACTTGTACTCTGGCAAGGATCATTTACTTGTTCACTTACAAAAAGCAAGAGATTTAACCAGCCTTAACGCAAATCAAAAGGACGGTGAGATTAAAAGTTAAATCTTATCTTAAGACATGGATAAGTGCTGCAGTTTTACAATCCGTTTTCTTTTTTAACAAGGAGCAATGCATCACAAATAAATGCAATAATGAGAGTTATAAAGTTCTAGTTTTGTTGAAAACATGCATCTGGTTTGGTAGTCTGTAATTTAATACTGAATAAAACAGTTTCAAAATGTTTGACACAAAGGACTGACTAACTATTGAACTTTCAATTAAGATTTGCAAGCAGTATTTGAGCTGAGATTAAGTTAGCAAGACTTTGGCCTGTATTTAATCACTAGTTAGCGTACCACAGCTATATTGTATTTTCTAAATTTCTGCTTCATCTGTCCAGATATCCCCGTAAGAATATATCTAGCCAGACATAAAAATAAACGTTAAGCATGTTTTAAAATGTTAACCTGTATGTGGTTCTATTTCAACATTTTTAAGATGTCACATCAGTCTGTTTTAGGAGTCATATTCAGAATTGCAATGTAAATGCTATTATTAGTGTGGACAGTATATAGCACTGTTGACTGCTCAACTTGAATGGAAATTTTGTTATGCAATTGAGTTTTCATGACTTGCTTTCTGCAGATGAAGGACGTGAATTCTCTTTGATGATTGTTTCACAATAGTCATAGTTTTAGCAAACTTCTTTCCAATTTTCCAAAGCACACATATTTACTGAGAAGGCAAATTTGGACTCCAGAAAAATGAATTTTGCACTTCAAATTACTAATGCATATGTTCAGTCAGAGACTGTAGCATTGTTTTCCTTCTATTTTTAATAACTGCACTGTAGCAAGAATTATGGTGCAAAATCATAACGCATACTTAACAAGACATGGTAAAACAATGCAAAGTCTTGAAATTTAGCAAAGCAATCACTAAAACAGGAAATGACTCAAACATTCCAAGAATACTGGAACTTTTCTGTTGTCATAAACCCATTGAGTATCAGCAGGATTGCAGGGCTATTTTTTATGCCATTGGTGTATGAAATTCAGAACACTTTACATAAGATTTATTACACCCAAGCAGAAATATTATCTTCTGAAGGTGCCATTTATCAACATCACTTTGAAATGCAGTGAATGATATGATGGAATTATGTAGATCAGGAATGTCTGTGGGTGGATTAAATTGGGTAACCTTGGCAACCTCAGGTACTGTACGCTTATCCGGCTCCGAATACATTTTGGCACATCAATTAACAGGAAGCAATATTTCAGGGGAAAAAATATTAATTAATACCTGTGTAACTGCTAATGAATTTGCTTTTTAAAAGCAAAGAGCATTTTGTTTCTGAAATGTAAAAGATACGTTTTGGTTCTTGTTTTTTTTTTCTTCTTTTTTAGCAGCCACAGATACATTTTTCATTTAACAATTGTATGATAAAGTCTTGCATTTCCAATATAAGAACAGTAAACAGCTTATGTCATTGAAAGGTGACTATATACTACCACTCCTGTATTGAGGAACAGGAACAACCTTCCCTAGCCTTATCTGTGAATATCTATAACTTTTTGAAAGCAAAACTAGGAAGCAAATAAAGAACAGTAGTATTTCTATTTCAATATACCCAAATATTTTTGGTATTATTTTTTTCTTTTTTTATAAGTATACTGGGGCAGTATTCTGTGACCATAACTAATGAATGTGTGATCTGTTTAACCCAGAATGACATGTACCTCATTTGAAAATCCTGCTTTCCAAAGTCTTGGCTGGAGAATTCTCACATATCCAACAATCATCTGGTGTCTACTTGGCCAGCAGGGGTCACTGAGGTGCAGTGACACAGATGTAAAACTACTGTACTGTACCTTGACAAGTCAACTTTCAATTATAGATCAATACTACAGTGGCGAGGTCACAACCTTGCTATAACTACTGTCCTAATAGGTCAAAGACAGTTATTAAACTATGAAAACATCTTGGAAGAATTTTGCTATTTAGTTCTCGTTTGATTCCAAAGATGATTATTCTGTTAGGGTTTTTTTGTTGTTGTTGATTAGAGTATATTTACTTATCCAAAATAACTGTGTTAAGCTGATAATGATGATAATTGAAATTAATGGTGTAAGCAAATAGTGTATCCAACTCCTAACAAGATTCTACTACTGTCTGTAACACATTATGTAGAACTGCATTGTCAACTGTACATCTGACATTTTCTCAGTCTGTCATGAACAATGAGCACGCTCTAATTTGACTAAGCAACAAAGAGGAGCCTGGTTAAGCATTCAGCTGACCAGATCTAAAGAATACATCCTTGTTTTTTTGTGGGAGCACAACCATTTTCAAATTACCTTTCTGTACATTACGCATTAATTGTGCCAGAGCCATGCCGCATGCTTCAATGACAATAAATTGCTTTAATTCAGTTTTCCTTGCCATGGTGGCGTAACTTAATTTCATTAGCTGGAACCTGTTGAGTGCATTCAAAGCTCCATAGCAGGGACGCACTTGAAATGAAAAGATGCTTTCGCTTCTCAATTAACAGAATCGTTCCCTTTCAACTAAAATGAATGTTATTGAAACCAATTAGCATAGACTGGAAAATCTCTCATTAATGAGGGGAGTGTGGGTGAGTAAACAGCAATGAAAAGATGAAATTAGAGAAGAGGCTCTTCTTGTTGGCCTGGAATAATTACACGCTTAGTTGCCTAATTGTCTGGTGAAAAGCGCTGCAGTGATAGTAACAGATTGCCGTGTTCATTAGGCTGCAATAGGCCACCTGCTGCTGTGGCTCATTTGCCTGCAGTCTTTATACATGTGTTTATCCCAGGGGGTTGATATTTGGACACAACACTAGCTGTGAAAAGCAAATGAGCTTGCCAATATGCTGCAATATTGTGTCCTTTATGCCAAGATACAGAAGCTTAATATGTCAAATGAAATGACTAAAACCAACAGCAATAACTGGGTGTGTGAGGAAAATGACCTTATAATATGTGACAGTGTAGAACTATTTTCCTGCATATATTTGGGTCTCTGTGTGCAAATGTTCTGGTGGCCTGAACCTCAGTAGATAAGAAATGTTCCATAATTATGGCAAATCAGACAAGGGGAAATGTTCTTTCTGCATTTACTCATTTCATGAAATATTTAATGGTTTGCCTGGAGAAACAAATTCGGCACATTTTGTAATTCATTTCCCTAAGACAAGTGAACATTACACACCACACATAGTGAATGCGCCCATCTATTAATTAATTTGCCATCTAAATTAAATGTATCACTTACATTATGTGGGACACATGGATATAAAATTGTTTAAAGAAAAAAATCAGTCTTTCACTAATACAATCAGTTCTTGCTCTTTCTTGAATGTTTGAATGTTCTCTATGAGCACTGGATTTCCTGGAAGTAAGCTCACTAATGCGTTTTTTGCTTTATTGTGGTGAAATTATAATGCTGAATATGTCAGATTTATTTAGGAAACCGTGTTTTCTGCAGTCTTTAATAACTTGCAGAGCTTCAGTATGAGGCTGAATTAGAATATTAACTAAGCTCATTGTTACAGGTCACATAACCTACAGGTATTGGTCATAATTATCTTGCAAATACCTTTAAGTATGTCGATTAAAACCTTGCATTATACAGTACATTGCCCTGCTGCCAATTCTATATGCAGTTCCTCCGGGACAATTCAAACACAGTGAGTCAAGACGAAATAAAAACATTTAATTTCCTATTTTAGAAGAAAACTACCATGCAATTGAATTTAAAAGAGAAAACCAAACAAGCAGTGAGTGAGCTTCCATATCAAATCAGATTTGATATGTTTGTTTTCTGCTGTATTGTCACATGGAAAACCTGGGATCGAAATTGTCTAGAATTGAAAGCAGAAAATCTTTTCAGCTTTAACTTCAAACATCTTCAAAGAGTAACACCAAAATTTGTTAAGGTTATTTAATCGCATGTTTTCTATATTAATAAGAAGTTAATACAAGTTCAGTTAAAAAGTGCTTAAATCAATAAATCAGTTCTATTTTCAAAAACACAAAATCTGTATCTTGCAGGTTCTTATGTAAAATACAAGAACATATCACAAGTTAAACTATGATGGGCTGTATAACATATATTCAAGCTACAAATGATAAAAAGACAAATAAGTGAGCAGGAGGTTCAACCAGAGAAATCAGTTTAGCACAGTGTTTTCTAAATCAGCTAATCTGATTTGCAATAGGTCTGTTTTATTTTCTTAATGAGAATTGCACTCTGACATGTAGGGCATGGTGAGTTAAGGAAGATTATCACCCTATGTAGACATTTTCTATTTCCAGGTCAAATAGAAAAATGTAAACGCAGCAATGCTGAGACTTCAAACACAGAATCTTGGGTAAATGTTAATGGATTTATGGGACATTATTTGTTATTCGTATCAAACTTACA